GAAATTCGACATTTTTAAGCGTAAAAATATCTATGATGTTAACACCTTCAGCAAATTTGACATATGAAGTTTTGAAGCTTGTTGTAATACAACAAAATAGCATACATATCAAATCGCATATATATCAACATGTGTAACTCCATCTATTGAAAAAAATCCGCATTAACTGGTACACCTATTTATATTTACGTGTGTATATAATATCCCAAAAATATCCACATATTACAGTTAGCTGAATTAAAATATAATTTGGGATTGTAAATATGCTTAAACTATGAAGAACATTCACTATCGAAGTCAGTGTCTGAGCTCAAAAAGTTTCACTTCTATTCCGATTACGTAAGTGAAAACCTGAATGATTTAACTTTCTTAAGGATGCCATCCATGTGCCTTACTGATCAAACTTTCACCTTTCCTTGTTTTTCCTCTTTTCTAACTTAGCATGACAGAAAAACAGTATCAGTGGTTTCTTTTTCATGATATTAAAGGTGACCAAAAAGTACTTAATATTATCAGGCAATTAGATTTTTGCTTAAGAAAAATCACATTTATGAATGACTAAAAGGAAACATTTTCTTGGAACCTTTCCTTGTTATGGCTTCAATTACCTTAAAACAAGCAAAAACTTTCAATAAGTTAAAATTCACATCTTCACAAATACTAGCATAGTCACTAAATGATATATTAACAGCAAAATAAAAAAACATTAATGAAGTTGAATGTTTTATTATTAAACTTTCTTATTTTCCTGTGAGGCTGCTACTTCAGTGTATAAAAATAGCACCAGCAAACTCAGTAATTGCTAAATTAAGACAGTATTGTTCATCATCTGACACCGTAACAACAAAAACTTTTATCTACTGCCTGTTATTTCCAATGGAAAGATCATTAAGTATTGTGACCCAAATCCAGAGACCGATGTAAGCAAGTTACAGTATTATATAAGGCTAAGATAACAATGTTATCCTTGAAATGTAATTTTTATTACTAGATTTTACCATAGATAATTTCAGGAATTCTGAATATTTTAACTGTAGCCTAGCCTAAAAACCATAGGGTGTTGTGGAAAAGATGCACATTGTATTTATCTGCCGTCATTAGATGGTTAAGGGGTATTTTCATCCAGTAGCATTGTTGTGGTTTCTTTTTTCATTGGAATTATTAAATCTTTCATCCACCACTAATTTAAGACAACTATGCTAGATAATTTGTTTTAGACTACTTTATTTAGGTGGGTTCATTTTCACTCCTCAATAGATTTTATGTATTTCTCATATGCTTCTTCACTCATTAGTTCATCTAGTTCTGAAGGGTTACTCAGTGTCATCTTGATCAGCCAACCTGCAACCAAAGAAAAGTATCTTATATTCCAAATTACCTTTTTAAAGAGTTAAAGTCAAATTCATTAAAAAATGTAAAATAGTTTTATTTTAAATTAGCTTATATTTAGTATTATTTTGTATTTGTTTCAGATGCACAGCATAGTGGTTAGACAATCATATGCTTTATACAGTGATCTCCCCCTGATGTTTCGAGTACCCAACTAACATATATACAATTATTACAATATTATTGATTGACTTGATTTCCTATGTTGACTATTTTGTAACTACTAATTAGTACTTCTTATTCTCTTGACTTTCTCACCCAACCCTCCAAATGCCTCTCTTAATCAGTCTGTTCTCTGTATCTGTGAGTTGGTTTCTATTTGTTTGTTCATTTATTTTATTTGTTAGATTCTACATGTAAGTAAAATCATATAGTATTTGTGTTTCTTTGCCTGACTTATTTCACTTAACATAATATCCTCTAGGTCCATCCATGCTGTCACAAATAATAAGATTTCATTCTTTTTTATGGCAGAGTAATGTATATGTGTACCACAGCTTTTTTTATCCATTCATCTATTGATGGGCACTTGTGTAAATAATGTACAATGAACATAGGGGTGCATATATTCTCTTGAATTAATACTTTGGGTTTCTTTATTTCACTTAACATAATATCCTCTAGGTCCATCCATGCTGTCACAAATAATAAGATTTCATTCTTTTTTATGGCAGAGTAATGTATATGTGTACCACAGCTTTTTTTATCCATTCATCTATTGATGGGCACTTGTGTAAATAATGTACAATGAACATAGGGGTGCATATATTCTTTTGAATTAATATTTTGGGTTTCTTCGGCTATATACCCAGAAGTGCAATTGTTGGCTCATTAGGTAGTTCCATTTTTAATTTTTTGAGGAACCTCCATACTGTATTCCATGGTGGCTGCACCAATCTGCATTCCCACAAACACTGCAATAGGATTCCCATTTCTCTACATCCTTACCAACACTTGTTTTAAAATAAATTCTTTAGTGTCTCAAAATTAATGTAGTATTATTTACCTCAATGACTCATTTGTTCAAGGAATTTTAAGTTTTAACACTAAGAATTAAATTAATATCCTTGCATATCATTATCGAAAAGATTACAACTAGAATAGATTCCACTATAATGGATTAAGAACTGTTAGATTGTTATAAGCATCAACAAATGACACTGAAAACTTTACATAGGGATCCAAGTATACAAAAGACTAGGTATATCTTTCATTAACAAGAGGAACACCAACACTGTTAACTACTGATGTGAAGGACATAGAAAGTAGAGAGTTAGAAGGGCTTGGTGACAGGCAACAGAGAACTACAACCTAATCCTAATTTTACCATTTATGGATGTGTTACCTTAACAGATAAATCCTTTCTGGGCCTCATTTCATCTACAAAATGGAGAAAACTGCTACTAGCCTACCTCACTGGGTAACTATAAAGATGAATATGTGAGAAAACTGAAAATTAATGAAATAAGTATTATTCTATTATCACCTACATCACAATATAGACACTTTATGTTTGAAGAAGTAAATACTTTGCAAGTGTTTAATACTAAGAACCCTATAAAACAAGGCCATGCTTTATTTTATCAACAAAGATCTTAATAAACATAACCTTAGATATTCAGCTAATCTGTGCTTTCTTTATTAAAAGCAGAACATCTCTATTTAGTACCAAAAAGTGCAAAGAGATAAAGTCACAATTCGCTAAATCTTGCTTTTCACTCTAGATTAACAACTTACCATCTTCATAACAAGATTTGTTGACAAGTCCTGGATTTTCTACAAGCGCTGTATTAATTTCAGTTACTTCTCCTGACAGAGGAGAATAGAGTTCACTAGCAGCTTTCACACTTTCCAAAGCACCAAACTCATCTAAATTAAGAAAATGAAAGAAAATGTTAAATGTCAAAAGTTAATGACCTGAAAATGCCAATATAGAAAATTGGTCATTTCAAGTACAATCATGATAAAATTCCAAGTATCTTTATTTAAAAATAAAATAGATTTTGTCATGTTTGTATCACCTATGAGAAGGGTATCAATATCCTCAATAAAGCAGACCTATTTCTGTATTTAGACAGAATAAACAAATGGTGATGTATCTGAATACCAGAAGTGCTTGAATTCACTAAAACTCAATCTTCTTTCAATTTACTATGGCTCAGAAAAAAAAAAAAATTCAGAAGATTCCAGTAGCAGTAAAGTACCTCAGACCAACCTTTCTACAGATACACCAAAACAAAAAACAAAAAACAAACAATTACATGAAGGATCTGTAGGATAACCAAAAGGAGAGTTAATATTTGGAAGAAAAAAAAAGGGACCCAAACTGAGATCTTCTTTTATACAATGCATACACTGATAACACCATGCTATCCAAAGACCACAGTGTAATTAGAACACAAGTAGAAAACCAGTCTTATTTCTTTGAAGGGTCAAAGGATGAAGTATGGGGCTGCCAAGGTGGCTGGAAAATGAGGATTTCCTAGAAAGAAAGGAGGATGGAAAAGAGAAAAAGTAGTCAGCAAAAAGATCCCCAAACGACCTACAGACCCACCTGATAGAATTACCAGAGAACCTTAAAATAGCTATTATAAGCAGACTGGATATAGTAAAACAAAGGATCAGTGAACATGAAGAATGATAATCTGAAATTAACCAATCTAAAGAACTGTTAAAAAAAAAAATAAAAAAAAGGCTGGGTCTAGCTGGATTGGCTCAGTGGATAAAGCGTTAGGCCTGCAGACCGAAGGGTCCCAGGATCCATTCCTATGAAGGGCATGTGCCCAGGTTGCAAGGTTGATCTCCAGTAGGGGCGTGCAAGAGGCAGCCAATCAATGATTCTCATCATTGATGTTTCAATCTCTCTCTCCCTCTATCTTCCTCTCTGAAATCAATAAAAATATATATTTTTTAAAAAGGCTGAAAAATTAATAGAGCCTTAGTCACCTATAAGACAATATCCAGTGGTCTGAAGTGAATGATGAGAATACAAAATACCAAAATATTTGGGACCTAGAGGCCCAGTGCACGAAATTCGTGCACAGGTAGGCTCTTTAGGCCTGGCCAGTGATCAGGGCCAATCGGGGCCTTCCGGCTGCTGGCTGGAGACTTCCTTCCTTCTGCACCGCCCCCTGGAGGTCAGTGCACATCATAGTGAGCGGTCGAACTTCTGGTCGGTCAAACTCCCGAGGGGACAATTTGCATATTAGCCTTTTATTATATAGGATAGCTAAAATGGTACTTAGAAGGAGATTAATGTCTTTAGCTTTTGTTTAAAAAGAACATCTTGAGCCGACCACTGGTTTGGCTCAGTGGATAGAGCGTCGGCCTGCAGACTGAAGGGTCCCAGGTTCGATTCCGGTCAGGGGCATGTACCTTGGTTGCGGGCACATCCCCAGTAGGGGGCGTGCAGGAGGCAGCTGATTGATGTTTCCCTCATCAATGTTTCTAACTCTCTCTCCCTCTCCCTTTCTCTCTGTAAAAAATCAATAAAATATATTAAAAAAATAAAAAGAACATCTTGACTATACAATCAGTCTGCAGACAGAGGTGGGTCTCTGGAGGCTTTGAGTCTTTGCCTAATCAAATTAGTCAGAAACAGCATTATACATTGTCCTGCACTGAAGATTGGGAGGAGGCATAACAGATCTACCTAATACATAGTCACAAACCCATACAGGCAGCCAAAATAGGCAGACAAAACAAAACAAAACAAAACCCCAAATGAAAGAACAAGAGAATTCTCCAGAAGAAGAGCTAAATGGAGATAAGAAATTTATCAGACATAGAGTTGAGAATAATGATGACAAAGATACTTAACAGCATGAGAAAACATATGAAGAATGACATAGCACTAATAAAGAACAATGGAAGGAACACACAGTAGATTAGGGGAAGCTGAGGATTGGATCAGTAAATTAGAAGACAGGGTAGAAAAAAAATCACTCAATCAGGGAACCAAAAAGTAAAGAACAGAACAGCTTAAGGGAGCTGTTGGACAACATCATATGTAACAATATTCACATAATAGATGTGCCAGCAGGGGAAGAAAGGGAGCAAGGGTTAGAGAATGTGTTTGAAGAAATAATGGTAGAAAACTTCCCTAACTTGGTGAAGGAAAAAGTCATACAAGTTCAGGAGCCACAGAGAGTCCCAAACAGGCCCATCCCCAGACACATCATAATTAAAATGCCAAAAATTAAAGACAAAGAGAGAATCTGAAAGGCAGCAAGAAAAAAGCAACCATAAGGCTGTCAGATGTTTTCTCATCAGAAACTACAGGCCAGAAGGGAATGGCATGAAGTATTCAAGGTAATGAAAAGCAAGGATTTGAAACCAAGATTGTTATATCCAGCAAGGCTATTATTCAAAACAGATGGTGATGCCCTAGCCAGTTTGGCTCAGTGGATAGAGCGTCGGCCTGGGAACTGAAAGGTCCCAGGTTCGATTCTGATCAAGGGCACATGCCCGGGTTGTGGGCTCGATCCCCAGTGGGGGACTTGCAGGAGGCAGCCGATCCATGATTCTCTCATCGTGGATGTTTCTATCTCTCCCTCCCTCTTCCTTCCTCTCTGAAATTAATAAAAATATATTTAAAAAAAAAAAAAGATGGTGAAATAAAAAGCTTCCCAGACAAAAAAGGGCAAAAGGCGTTTATTACCACCAAACCAGCACTGCATGAGATGCTACAGGGACTGCTATAATGAGAAGAATAAAGAGACAGTGAAACATAGGCATAAATAATTAAAATGGCAACAAATAAGTACCTATCTATATATATAAAAGCCGAAGCAACGTCTGACCGGTAGCTATGACGCGCACTGACCACGAGGGGGCAGATGCTCAATGCAGGAGCTGCTGAGTGACAGCAACTTTGCAGAGTGCCCTCTCGCACTCCAGGACCCCTTGGGGGATGTTGGACTGCTGGTTTCGGCCTGATCCCTGCAGGTCAGGCCAAGGGACCCCACTTGCCAGAGGGACCCCACTCACTCTGCAGACATCCTTCGAGCCCCAGCACCACCCCAAGTGTTGCCAGCCGGGGAGGGACCGCGGGAGGTTGGCCCCAGGGTGTGTCCGGCCCATCTCACCCAGTCCCACCCCGCCGGCCACCTTTTAATTAATTTCTTTTCAATGTGCACGAATCTTTGCACCAGACCTCTAGTCAATAATAACCTTAAATGTAAATGGATTAAATGCTCCAATCAAAAGACATAGGATTGCTGAATGGATACGAAAACATGACCCAATTATACGCTGTTTACAAGAGACCCACCTCAAAATAAAAGACTCAGGATGAGAGTGAAGGAATGGAAATTTTCCATGCAAATGGAAACGAGCAGGGCATTACACAAAACTATAAAGGTCACTACTTAAAACTAAAGGTATCGATCCAACAAGAGCAGCGGTTCTCAACCTGTGGGTCACGACCCCTTTGGGGGTCAAACAACCCTTCCACAGGGGTCACCTAAAACCATTGGAAAACACATATATAATTACATGTTGTTTTTGTGATTAATCACTATGCTTTAATTATGTTCAATTTGTAACAATGAAAATACATCCTGCATATCAGATATTTACATTACGATTCATAACAGTAGCAAAATTATAGTTATGAAGTAGCAACGGAAATAATTTTATGGTTGGGGGTCACCACAACATGAGGAACTGTATTAAAGGGTCGCGGGATTAGGAAGGTTGAGAACCACTGAACAAGAGGATATAACTCTGGTAAACATATATGCACCCAATAAGGAGCATCTAAATACATAAAAAAACTTCTGGAAGACTTTAAGGGAGAGATCAACAGCAATACAGTCATAGTAGGGGACTTTCACATCCCACTGACTACTGGATAGATAGATCTTCCAGACAAAAAAATTAACAAGGAAATAGTAACTTTAAAGGACACACTGGATCAGATGGATTTAATTGACATTTATAGAATATTTCACCCCAAAGCTGCAGAATATACATTCTACTCAAGTGCACATGGGTCATGCACATTCTCAAAGATAGATCACATGTTAGGACACAAAACAAGTCTATATAAATTCAAGAAGATTGAAATCATATCAAGCATCTTCTCAGATCATAATGGAATGAAATTAGAAATCAACTACAGTAAAAACACTCAAAAACATTCAAATACATGGAGGCTAAATAACATTTATTAAACAATGAATGGGATACCAATGAGATCAAGAAGGAAATTAAAAACTTCCTGGAAGCAAATGAAAAAGAACGTACAACAACCCAAAATTTCTGGGACATAGCAAAAGCAGTCCTGAGAGGGAAGTTCATAGCATTATAGGCCTGCTTCAAAAAACAAGAAATATTAATAATAAACTATCTACAGCTTAAAGAATTAGAAAGAGAACAACCAGAAAAGCCCAGAATAAGTAGAAGGAAGGAAATAATAAAAATTAGAGCAGAAATAAATAGCATAGAGAATAGAAAAACAATACAAAAGATCAATGAAACCAAGAGCTGGTTCTTTGAAAAGATATACAAGATTGATGTACCTTTAGCCAGGCTCATCAAGGACCCAAATAAGTAAAATCAGAAATGAAAGCAGTGAAGTAACAACTGGCACCACAGAAATACAAAGGATTGTAAGAAAATACTATGAACAACTATATGCCAACAAATTGGATGATGTGGATGACATGGACAAATTCCTAAAAAAATAGTCTTCCAAAACCAAATCAAGAAGAATCAGAAAACGTGAATAGGCCAATAACAACCTGATGAAATAGAAGCAGTAATCAGAAAACTCCCAGCGTGGCACAGTGGTTGAGTGTTGACCTATGAACCAGGAGGTCACGGTTCAATTCAGGGCACATGCTTGGTTTGCAGGCTCGATCCCCAGTAAGGGGCATGCAGGAGGCAGCCGATCAGTGATTCTCATCCTTGATGTTTCTATCTCTCTCCCTGTCTAAAACCAGTAAAAAATATATATATTTTTAAAAAGCTTTTCATAAAAAAAAGCTTAAAGAAATGAAAAGGTAAAACCACAAGCTATGAAAAAATATTTACAAAATATATATCTGATAAAGAATTTGTATCTAGAATATATAAAGAATGCCTAGCTCTGGCCAGTGTTGCTCAGTGGTTAGAGTGCCGACCCATGCATAGAAAGGTCTCAGGTTTGATTCCTGGCCCCAACTGGGGCACATGCAGTAGGCTATCAATTAATGTTTTTCTCACATCAATGTTTCTGTTTCTGTGTCTGTCTCTCTCTCCTTCCCACCATCCCTTCCATTCTCTCTAAAATCAATGGAAAAATATCCTCCTATGAGGATAAACAAACAAAAAGAATGCCTAAAAGTCAATGGTAAAAAAACACACACAAAAAAACGAAATTGGTAAAAGACTTGACTAGAGACTTCACAAATAAAGATGTTAGTAAAAAACAACAATAATGTTCCTGAGGAAATTCAAGCTTAAACCACAATGAGATCTATAGCTTCTGGAAAACTGAGTCTCATATTGTTGATGAGAATGTAAATGGTACAAACACGGAAAACTGCTTGGCAGTTTCTTATTAAGTTAAACTTATACCTACTCTATGAGTCAGAAATACTACTCCTGTATGTACTTACCCAAGAGAAGTGAGGACATACATTCACAAAAAGAGGCTTATACAAAACAGTTTATAGTAGCTTTATTCATAATAACTCCCAACTAGAAATAACACAAAAATCCATCAACAGGAGAAAGGATAAAAATGTGTCTATTCATACAGTGGGACACTCTTCAGCAACTAAAAATTTACTACTGCCCAGCTGGAGTAGCTCAGTGGTTGAGCGTCAGCCTTTGAACCAGAAGGTTACTGTTCAATTCCCGGTCAGGGCACATGCCATGTTGAGGGCTTAATCCCTTGTGGGTGGTGCACAGGAGGCAGCTGATCAATGATTCTCTCTCATCATTGACGTTTCTATCTATCTCCCTTCCTCTCTGAAATCAATAAAAAAAATCTGATCAACATGAATGCATATCAAAAATCATGACATTGGATAAAAGAAATCAGACAATTGGGAAGATTCATGCAGTATGTCATTGGATTGTATACTTAAGATCTATGTATTTTCATATGTATCAATTTAAAAATATGTTTTGTAGAAAGTTTTAAAAAGGCATTTTTAAGTTAAGTATATTACCAGCATATTTATATTAGTAGAATTTTTTAATGCACAAAAAGGCTCATGACACTCACTTACTATAAAGAGATGTTCTGAAACTTATGGTCTGCTTGAGTAGCAGAGTGGGTACACAGTAAATAAAATAACTTGAGAAAATGAGAACTGTGCATTGATGTATAGAAAAAAAGATTATTAATCACACTGGGGGTTTTATTATGACATCAGAAATGGTTTCTAGGAAGCCCTTCAAAAAGAGGGATGTGACTGACCAGGATGTTGAGAGACAGGAAGCAGAAAAATATCAAACAAGATAAACGATGGGGAAAGTTTAAGCAGAAAAAGAGATGGCTAATACTGTCAAAGATACTTACATTATGCTAAATTTCATTTAATACTATAACTCTATGAAGTAGATACTATTATTATTATCCTAACTTATAGATGAGACCTAGATTATGTTTGTTCCTCAAAATCACACAGCTAATATTTTGTGAGACCAGGCTTGAAAACCAGGTTCTGACCCTTTTTAGCTCATATGCTTTACTACCTCAAAGAAAAGCAGATTTTACTTTTTAAACTTAATAGGCCTCAATATGAATATGTGGAGAGCAAAGAGGCTAACACCCATTTCCCTCTACTTCTTCCTACCTTCCATTATAATGTCTTAAAATGCTCATTATTCTCTTTGCCATCATCCTTAAAACTAGGGGTGGCAAATATAACCCATATCTGGCTAATGAGATGTAAGAGAATAAAAATGAAAGCCTGTCCATCTCTTCCTGCTTTTGGACACTGTCATTTGAGAATGTGACAGTGTCTAAGATTTTGCTGCCATGTTGTGAACTGTGACACACTGAGGCAGAAAAAGTACTAAAAGAGGTCATGTCCTTCACTGAGCCACTCAACCAATCCTCTCTTCACCTATGTCCAGACCATTTGTACTAGTATAAGATATAAATCCCTAGCCCTGGTCAGTGTGGCTTTGTTGGTTGAGCATTGTCCCGTTGCATGCTTGATCCCCAGTCAGTGGAGGTGTGTGTGGGAAGCAACCAATTGATATTTCTCTCCCTCTCCCTTCCTCACTCTTTTAAATTTTTTGTTACTTGAGTGAAAAGCACTCTAACTGATCCTGGGTGCATAAAAGTTATTCAAGCCTTGGCCAGTGGTGTGTACGAGAGGCAACCGATATCTCTCTCTCTCTTTCTTTCTCTCTCTCTCTCTCTCTCTCTCTCTCCCTCTCTCTCTCCTCCTCCTCCCTCCCTCCCTCCCTCCCTCTTACCCTCCTCCCGCCTCCTTCCTATCTCTCTGAAATCAGTGGAAACATCCTCTGGTGAGGATTAAAAAAAAGTTATTATTCAAGGTAAAGGTTAGGTAAAGAAAATTCATAGCATGAATGATGACAAACCAAGGTAAGAAAAATACTCACCTTGCTTGTTCAGTTTTGTCCCAATTTCAGGCAGACTACAGTAAACAACATCTCCCAATGCTTCCTAAAAACAAACAAACAAAAAACTCTAAGAAATAAAATTAAACCTCTTAATAGGAGCAAGCCAAACACCAAATCCCCTGTAATTTCAGATAGTAGTACAAATTTTACATTTGATGGGCCACATTTTTTGTGTTTTTTTCTTACAACCCTTTAAGACACAAAACTATTCTTGGCTCAGGACCTGCAAGGAAACAGGCCACTAGCTGGACTTCCCACAAGCCGTAGTGACTGGTTACAAACCGTATGTCTTCCAAAAGATTACTATCTCCTCTGAGAAGAATCATACTTTGCATTTTTTTCATTTCTGCAGCCATTTCTCCCTCAGAATTTGCTTAAATCTTACCCATTAATTCTTCAACTCATAGTCACATGCCTTATACGCCTTGAAGACCCTGACTCCAATAAGAAATTATCTCTCCATCAGGTTACCACCCAATTTACCACTCAGGTTATCCATCTTGTAATGTTTTGTATGTCATTTTCCATGTAGGTAATTACACTCATAGATAAATCCCAAGAGGTATGGACACTACACAATATTTCACAAGCACCCTGTATTGGGCTTCAGTAGGTACACAGATATACTAATGAAGATATAGTTGTCATTGACTTTCAATACCTGATATTCCAACATTTCTATAAAACATTTTATATATTTCCATCAGTTATCATCCCCTTTCCCCATAGTGCCTCACCTCCCAGAGATCTAGTTTAAAATTATTAACTGGTGCCGCCATTTGACTTAACGTTTTCTTTTATACAATATTTCAAATATGGGATCAATGGGAACAGGGGAGTTAATAGAGAAATAGATAGGCTAAATAAAAGGTTTCCGTCTGCGTAATCTGTGCCAATCTAGGTTTTTCCCTCTTCATCTCCCCTGGTCATGTGTGTATCACTGTATCCACAAAACACTATCAACACTCTACCCTTTTGCTGCTTCTTTCCTTAACTACCCCAATATGAAACGAACACATTTCTTTCTTGAATAAGGTTTGTTTCCTACCTTCAATTTTAAATGTTAACCTTTCAATATCTCTAACACTACATACTCCCCTAACCAAATTATGTTTTTCACTTGTTTCACTTAAGATTGATATTTCTCTAAGGGCCTGTAAAGGGCCCTAAATACTAAGGGCAGAATAAACAAATTTTAAAAGACAGAGACAACCCAATTTAGGTGAGAGCAGACTATTTTAACTATTTCGAGACAATCCAATACCTGTGCAAAATTGCTGATTCCCACTGTTCCAATACCATTTTCTGTTGTTATCCATTCATGTTTCTCTGTGAATTTACGCACTAAAATAGAAGACCAATATTTCAGAAAAGCAGTAGCATCACTTCTTATAATGCATTTTTTATATCAATGCTGTCAAAAGGCAAAACTTTTCCAGTATTTGGTCTGACTTATTGACATTGCCTTTCAATAGTACATGCCCTGGAAAAAATGATCGCGACTAGATGGTACATCTTAACAGTGCTATCACTTAGACAAAGATGGCTTGATGTGAACACCTTGCGTATCTTTTGGAGATTTGATTATCTGCTCTAACCTTACTTAGTCTAAATCACACACAAAAACTTTGAGGATATTTCAAATGTATGCTTATCTACTAACTGGTCTGTCTTGCAGAAAAGTCTGATTTGGAGTGATGAAATTTTGGAATGAGCACAGACTGCTCATAAATTATTTAAGCTAAAAAAATAACTTGCCTTTTTAGAGTTGACCTAAGACAGCTTCCCTGCAAGTTGGTTGCTTGCAGGCAAAGTGGAATCTTATAGGAATGAAATTGACCTAGTAAATTACAACTTAAATAAGTTCTTAAAATTCCATTTTAATGGAATTCAGGCCTGTGTGGAAGAAATAGGCTACCATCATTTAAAGAAGCAAACTATAAGATAACAGTCACCTCAGAGCTAAGCCATGAACAGGTGGAAAGTCAAGTTCTATTGATCTTTCATTGGAAAGGTTAGCCCTTGGCTTTCTTTATGAGTTTCTCTTCAAAGATATGGTCGCCCTAGCCGGTTTGGCTCAATGGATAGAGTGTCGGCCTGCAGACTGAAGGGTCCTGCATTCGATTCTCATCAAGGGCACATGCTGGGATTGCAGGCTCGATCCCCATTGTGGCGGGTGCAGAAGGCAGCCAATCAATGTCTCTCTTATTTCAATCTCTCTCTCCCTCTCCCTTCCTCTCTGAAATCAATAAAAAAAGTTTATTAAAAAAAAAAAAGATATGGACAAATATTGAACAATTCCTGGAAGAAAGACTGACCAAAATTTAAGATATGAAAAAAATTATTTAGGATTTAATGTTAAAAGTACTTGCTTTAAGAAATAAGTAATTTAAAAAATATATATATATATATATTACTTTCCAAAATGAAGTATTTTTTCCAAAAATAATGCATCAGAAGTGAACTGGAAAATGGTTCATTAATTCCAATATTTTAAAGTAAGCCTTACTGGTTCACTCTTCTCCCTTACCCAAAGATAGTTGTACTTAAAACAGCATTAAATTGCTTTGATTATACAGCTCTGATGCGCAACAGAATGTAAATAAAGTATAGCTTATTCCTTTCTTTTCCCCTTAGCATTAAAAAGCTCTTAATTTTATATTCTTCAGTAGAAAAAGTTGCAAAATCTGTCACAAAGGAATTTGCTTTACTTTGTTCCACTTCAAATAACTGAATGCTTCAGTCTATCTAATCCTTCTATTAAAAAGCTTAAGATTTGGTTCGCTGGTGTTGTTAAGTGGTTAGAGCGTTGGCCCACTGATTGAAGGGTCATGGGTTCGATTGCCAGTTAAGGGCATGTACCTCAGTTGCAGGTTCAATCCCTAGCCCCAGTGGGGGCTTGAGTTTGGGAGGCAGCCAATCCACGTGTGTCTGTCTCCCGTCATCCCTTTCACTCTCTGTAAAAGTCAATGGAAAAAATATCTTCATTCCTCCAGTGAGGATTTAAAAAAAAAAGTTTAAGGTTTATACTTGATGTCCTTCCTGACTGCAACACTGTCCCACTTTTCACTTTTTCTTGACTATTTCATAGTTCAGTTTAGAAGCTCTTTCCTGCCACAAGCCTAGTCTAGCCCTTCAAGATTGGGTTCCTGGGCCCATCCAGCACATTCCCATTGCACTCTGCACTACTCTCCTCACCATAACCCCAAACACACTCATAGAACTTAACATACTACAGATACAGCCCATTTATCAATTTTCCCCAGGAAGGTAGATTATAAGTACAAAGCAAACAAGTGCAGAGTTTACTTTATTTGTACTCCCATTTCTAAACAATGCTGGGCATATAGTAAACTCTTAAAAGTTGGAGTGAAGTAATTTTTAAAAGTTTAAGTAAAAGGGATTCTGAGCAAAATATCTAGTATATAATTATTTGGCTACAACACTGAATTCTCCCTGTCATTCTCTTACAACTCTAGAACAGGTTGTTTAAAACTAACATACCTTTTAAAAGGCTAGAGAACTATAAATATGACTTCTCTGAGCCTACTGTCCTGATTTTGGCCTTACCATCTTACCTAATTGTAAAGATAATCTTAAGAATAAGATGGCTCTCACATTCAATTTAGCAACTGAGCAAGCAAAAATTTAGAGGAAGAGGCAGCAACATTGCTAAGCTAAATGTGCCTAGGTCCACTTGACTTCAAGTCCATTTAAGCCTTTTTTCTAGGCCAGGCTATTTAGGTTCAATGATTAGTACAATTCTTTAACCCTTGGCCCAACAGGAAAAAAGTGGACAGGAGATTATGTAAATAATTACTTTCTTACTGAGCTTTGAGCCTCAGAAAATTAGGCGTTTTGAGTAATCTATGAAAGGTTTGTATTTCCCTTCTTTCAAAGTCACTAGGCAGATAAAATATATTAACATCGGTCCACTTTTTGCTGTTTATTTGATTCTATGAACTAAAATTTAATTACATTTATCAAATACTTACTGTGTGCCAGGCTTTATGTACAACAGTTACATTACTATTATTTCACCCTCCCAACAACTCTGTGAGGTAAGACTATCATTTCCATTTTCCTGATGAGGGAAACTGACTCAAAGTTTTGCTCGCTTTAACTAGTAAAAATCTAGATCCAGTGCTTTCACTTCAATTAGTGCTCTTGCTTTAATTTTACTTTAGAGTTATTGATATGATCCGTGGCGCAAACTAAAAGCCTATTATTAGTCGCCACTTTTAGGGTCCACGATGCCCACAAATGAGAGACAACCTAAGGTCAAGAAGCTTAGGGGCACTGGCCGGATTTTCCAGGAGCCAGCGGCAGACTCCTGCCCCGGACACTGCGATCACGCGTGCTCCAGGCTCCCTCCCCACCCCCCTCCCGCCTCCCTAACCTGCAGGACAAAGGCTGCGGTGTCGGCCACGCCACTTAGGGAGGGGAGGAGGGGCTGCACAATTAGAGATACCAGCAAAAAACAAGTGTGCTCGGGAGTCGCGTGGCTTGCTAGACCCGGGCGATCGGCACCCGGGACTTGAGATAAGGATCAGGCGAGGAGGGAAGCGTCCCAGTTCACCCCCACCCGAGGCAGCCCAGCTTACCCCACGTGCCCACTCAATGCTTACCCAACAGCAGATTGGGACCGGTGCGCAGCGTC